AACAACAACTACAATTTTCGCCGTTTAAATCGACGATTTCTCTAAATGTGTAATCGCGCCAATTTTCTAGCAACGGCAAATTTCTGTGCGGCAAACGCTCAATGTATAACCGGCGTAACGATACCCACTTCACCAACAAATCTTATGGCATTACGCTATTGCCATAGATGCTATTCATTCTTTTGTCAAAAACTGTTATTGTACTTTAGGATGTGAATAAAAACAAAATTTTTCTCAGCCACAACCTTGAAGACGATACCTAATAGAGAATAGACCTATTCTGAAGTAATATAGAACATGAAAAAAATAGGTACCTACCATAGAAATAATTAATAATTTTTTTATTACAGCATAGTACCACAATACCAACTATTAATTTCTAAATTCCAGGATTTGCAGTTTTAAATGTATTGATATTGATGTGAAAATGCACCGAAAGAGAACGATTGTTCAGGGGTAGACAACCACCTTTTGTGCCAAATGTTGGATAAACGAATATCCATTACAATCGTAAAAAGGACTTTTTTTCTAAAATTATATTTTGTTAAAAGTTCGGCAAAAAAATATGTTCAACACAGCAAAGCCACTTGACTGCCTTGCTAATTCTACCTCGCTCGCTTAGCCAGAAAATCATTTGTGGCAGTCAAAATTAAAAAACTTCAATTTTGCCTACTAACAGGCTGTTATTAAATAAAGTCTGAAGTCAGTAAAATTTAAAACCGCGTTAGATAAATTGAACAATTTGGAACACACTACCCTTGAATTGTTGTTGAATCGAGATTATAGTAAAATGAATTTATTTTTTCATACTCGGTTTTACGTGTAGTATTATATTTCTAGGTTTTAACCTGAGACTGTATTAGAGTAAGTAGGTACCTATTTTAGAATTGGTTTATTCTGTATATCGTCTTTCATAATGTTTTGCGCACTACTACTAGAATAAATAAATAACAATTTTGACACAAACCCGCGTACTTGTTTTTTTTTCGTTCCAAGACTTAACGAGTTTTGTCTTAACCCTTGGGTTTAAATTAAACCGATCCAGAGATAAGAAAAAATATACCCACTATTTATATTACCTACCTCCGTACTGTCACTACCACCCCGCCGACGTTTTGGAATAATTCAAACAAGAAAATCTTAACATAATGAAAATTTTCTTTCATTAAAAACTTTTTGATCTTTTAGCTTCATTTTAACCGCAGCATATTATGCAGAATTCCCAAAAATAAAAAAGTTTTTCGCTTAGTGAAAATTTCACTACACTTTTGCAGAACTCCTAACATTGTTGTCATTTTTAAAATGTTTATTAGTATTTTTAAGAGTATTAGTAACAAAAAAGCTAATGTAGCTTTTAAAAAAAAACCAAGTCGATAGCTCACCTTTTGAAGCTATTGCAATATATGTACAAAATAACAAGATTTTTGAAATACCGATTTTTTTTTACTTTTTTTGCAATAACAATGTCTGTGACCACTAAAAAATGTCGTATCTTATGATTTCTAATGAACATTAGCATAAAGAATGAAATGATAACTGTATAGCTGGTTCTAAGCTTAAAAAAAAAAAACAAGAACGGACACTTTTTCGGTTTTTTTACTCCACTAAAATGGGACAGTCTTATTTTTATAAATAAATGTTGCCGTCGTCGAAGATATTTCGAACCAAAGAAGTAAGATTTTTCTATAAAATGGCATTATCAGCATTCCATTAGGTAGGTACTCATCGATTTCAGGCCTTCCAGTTCTTCAGTAGTTGTCTCGTAGCTTCTCCAGTACTGGCGCAAATTTGTTCTGGGTAGGTACCTATTTTCTTTTTTAAAAACTTCTCTTGTCTGTTTCTTCCAATTTCTTTCATTTCGAAATCGAATACTGTAATCGAAATGTTCCTGTTTCAGTCATTTTTCAGCATTAGTCTTCGTTTTGAAAATTCGTGTCCCACCACTCCTGTACCTTTTCTGTGACGTTCTTTTACGACAAATATAACTATGTCGTTTTACATTGTTTCAAGATTTTTCTATATTTTCCTGTTTACATTTTGCGAAATACTTACTCACCATCTTCCTCAAGGCTAATGCGACGAAAACACAAGTGAAAGTATACGAGAAGTCAAAGAGTCGTCAGCCATGTAGGACAAAATAGCCGGCACTCCTTATTTGTATTCCCGTTGATCAGCACACGAAAAACATACTAAACCATCGTCGATTTGGAGGATAGAATGCGGATTTTACAATCAAGGATGCACGATTTCCGTATAATCAAAAGCGTTTGATTGCCGTATGCGTTTATTAGAAGGGCCTTTAAAACCGTTTTGCTACGTTTCAAATCCGGAGGGTGTATAAAAGACAAGAACTTTTTTCTTGTTTCTTTCTCCCAAGACATGGCAAGTGCAGGTCTCAATTATTAAAATAAAAATAATAAATTAATTAATAAAATGAAAATACCTACTAAAAACCGGCCGAGCACGAGGCAGCCTGCGGTCTTTCAGATCACCGGCACTTACTTTCTGTCAACTGGTGGCGGTGACCAAATAGCTCTACACTCGGCAATTTTTACCGTTCTACAACCCAAGCACACACAACTCATTTTCGCCGTTTAAAATCGACGGTAATATTGCTGCTAAATTGTGGCATTTTCTTAGGCACGGCAATTCTGTGGCCGCTCATTATAACCGGCTACATCCCACTACAAAAAAAATGCTTATGGCTATCCAAGTGCTCTTCTTTTGTCTAAAAACTGTATTGTACTTAGGATTGAAAAAAAATATTTTTCTAGGTCCACACGGAAACGGAAGAATAACCTCGAAGAATATGAAAAAAAGACACATAGAAATAATTAATAATTTTTTATTACAGATAGAGCCACAAACCAACTATTAATTTCTAAATTCCAGGATTTGCAGTTTTAAATGTATTATTTATTAAAATGCCGAAAACGATTGTTCAGGTTATACGACCATATTTGCCAAATTTGAAATTTCCATTACGTAAAAAGGACTTTTTTTCTAAAATTTATTTTTTAAAAGTTCGGCAAAAAATTATTTCAACTAACAAATCCTATTGACTGCCTTGCTAAATTCTACCCGCTATAGCTTACAGAAAACATTTGTGGCAGTCAAAATTAAAAATCTTAATTTTGCCTACTAAACAGGCTAGTTATTAAATAAAGTCTGAAGTCAGTATTTAAAACCGCGTTAGATAAATAAAATGGACCTCCCTTGAATTGTTGTTGAACGAGATTAGTAAAATGAATTTATTTTTCATACGGTTTTACTGTAGTATATATTTCTGGTTTTACCTGAGACGAGTAATAGCTAGAATTGGTTTATTCTGTTTCCGTCTTTCATAATTTTTGCCACTACTACATAGATAAATAAATAACAATTTTGACACAAACCGCGTACATTGTTTTTTTTTTCGTTCCTAAGACTAACGAGTTTTGTCTTAACCCTGGGTTTAAATTAAAGCCGATCCAGAATAAGAAAAAATATACCCACTATTTATATTACCTACCTCCGTACTTCACTACCCCCCGGCCGCCGACGTTATTGGAATAATTCTAACAAGAAACTTAAGATAATAAAATTTTCTTTCATTAAAAACTTTTTGATCTTTTAGCTTATTTTAACCGCAGCATATTATGCAGAATTCCCAAAATAAAAAAGTTTTTCGCTTAGTGAAAATTTCACTACACTTTTGCAGAACTCCTAACATTGTTGTCATTTTTAAAATGTTTATTAGTATTTTTAAGAGTATTAGTATACATGAAAAAAAGCGCTTAAGTGTGAGCTTTATTATAAAAAAAGAACCAAGTCGATAGCTCAACTCTTTTTGAAGCTATTGCAATATATGTACAAAATAACAAGATTTTTGAAATCCGATTTTTTTTTACTTTTTTTGCAATAACAATGTCTGTGACCACTAAAAAATGTCGTATCTTATGATTTCTAATGAACATTAGCATAAAGAATGAAATGATAACTGTCATAGCTGGTTCTAGCTTAAAAAAAAAAATTCAAGAACGGAGCGACTTTTTCGGTGTTTTTTACTCCACTAAAATGGGAAACAGTGCAATTATTTTTATAAATAAATGTTGCCGTCGTCGAAGATATTTCGAACTCAAAGAAGTAAGATTTTTCTATAAAATGGCATTATCAGCATTCCATTAGGTAGCTACTCATCGATTTCAGGCCTTCCAGTTCTTTAGTAGTTGTCTCGTAGCTTCTCCAGTACTGGCGCCACAAACTTGTTCTGGGTATAGTTACCTATATTCTTTTTTTAAAACTTCTCTTGTTTGTTTCTTCCAATTGTCTTTCATTTTGAAATCGAATACTGTAATCGAAATGTTCCCGTTTCAGTCATTTTTCAGCATTAGTCTTCTGCGTTTTGAAAATTCGTGTCCCACCACTCCTGTATCTCTTATCTGACGTTATTTTACGACAAATATAACTTCCACTGTCGTTTTATATTGTTTCAAGATTTTTCTACCTATTTTCCTGTTTACATTTTGCGAAATAGCTTAGCTGCAGCAGCAGTAACATTCCTGCAAAGGCTGAATGCGACGAAAACACAAGTGAAAGTGATACGAGTAAGGTCAAAGAGTCGTGCAGCTCTTATGTAGGACAAAGATGAGCCGGCAAACTGCCTTATTTGTATTCCCGTGTGAATACTACCGCAACAACGAAAAACATACTAAACTCATCGATCGATTTGGAGGATAGAATGCGGATTTTACAATCAAGGATGCACGATTTCCGTATAATCAAAACGCGTTTGATTGCCGTATGCGTTTATTAGAAGGGCCTTTAAAACCGTTTTGCTACGTTTCAAATCCGGAGGGTGTATAAAAGGACAAGAATACTATTTTTCTTGTATCTCTGTTCTCCGCAAGGACAGTGGGCAAGTGCAGGTACTTCAAGATTATATTAACAACTAGTAGACAAACAGATAATAAATTAATTAAGATAATAATGAAAATACCTACTAAAAACAACGAAACATCGGCTCGTTTGCTCAGCTGGTTAGAGCGCCGCGCTTTATAGGTCTAGCGGAGGTCGTAGGTTCGAATCCTACATGAGTCCGTATTTTTTTTCTGTTCACATACATACTTTAAAAATAAGGTATTGTAACATTATTTCCTGAAAAACTGTGTCAGTTCCTTTAAGTATCTTATATCAAATTTTTTTTTGGTTGGAACTTTTACTGGAACTAAATATTCTTCATCTGTTACTTTCAAGTGTCGATTTTTTAATGTATTGGGTTTCCATTGAAGACCTGCTAATTGCTTTTGAGATACGGTTTCATTGTATGTATCCATGCTAATTATTTTCTCACCCAACAGCATTTCTCTTTTACTCATTAATGGATTTTTATCTAACAGAATTGCTCCTACTCGTCAGTTCCAGGAAGTAACGCCGTTGATATTTATTTTATAAACAATAGGATTAACTACCTACAACTTTTTGTTGAACAAAACTCTAATGAAGTCAAAGTAATGAAGGGCGAGAAATACACATTATTTTACCGTAGTAGAAAATTCATGCTCGTTTCTTTCTTCGATAATTCCTTCATCTTATACTGGTAAAATAAGCATATTAGTTGTATTTGGTAATCAAATCTCGCAGAAGAAATTATATTACGTAATGCAATGTATTCCACACTTTCACATTTTAAACTTTTCAGTAAGCAAGCGCTTTGACTCATCTTCACAAAAATTTAATTGTGAGAAATGTTCGCCAACAACATATTCCTAACAGGTAGGTTCATTTAATTCCTAATCATGTACCTATTCGCTTTCCAGTTATTATCAGTCACTTTTATATTGTAAGATTATTTAAATACTCAAGGTAGACGATAACCATTATTATGTAAATAGGAAGAAGATAAATTGATTAAAGGATTTTGATGTCACAGTAGATTAGTCGGTACATTTACAGTTCTGGGTATGACATCATTGCAAAAATACAATGACTGGTTAAATTTAAAAACAAAATAACTGTCAATCAATGTACTCACCTCCGGATACTTGTATTTTATCCTTTTGCCCTCGCAAAGATCCTTTTACCTCATTTCTCTATCCTTTCCAATATTAATATTTCTCAATGCCATTTTCTTATATCCTTCCAATTTTTAGTAAAATAGCGTAAAAAATGTATGCCTCATTGATAAAATTATTCATAATTGTAATTTTCTCAATAGTAAAACCCCATGGAATTTTTTGTGCCCTCCGTTATTATACAATATTATTTATATTAAAGTAAATACTGTTATAAAATATTTCAAATTAGTATTTAAAATCTCATCGTATCAAATTCGATTCAAATGGAAATGAAGTGATTTAAAAAATATATTACGTCATGATTTGAAACAATAACATATATAAAAAAACAATATTATAACCCTTGCTCCTCAAGGTTCCCGGTTTAATGTATATGTTTACGGCAAAATTACGTGGCTTTTGTTAATTTATTAATTATTAATAGATTGCCTACTTGCCAGGTTTTTTTCTATCTATGGCATTATGTCTAGTAGTTTTTTACGTATTTATGAATTTGTAATTTATGCTAATCAATGGGCCTTTACAGTGAATTTTGAAAAAATCTGTATTGAATACAGAACAACCAAAAATTTTTAGACATTTTTTTTTTCAATTTCTGATTTGAAATTTACGAGGAAAAAAAATATAAAAGTCGGGTGCACGGCAAAAACATATTTAAATTTCCCGCCGGAAATGACGTCACGGACTCGCAAATTAGAAGATGACAAAAGATGTTTCCATCTTTGTTGATGTCTAAAAATCAATGATTTCCTAACCTATAAGACACAAAAATCAAAGATTTTGGTGACAGCTGACGTTTGTGGCCTTGAGCCTTGATACCGTTTTGTTTTTTCGGGCATGCGCAGTCAGTGAGTCCGTGTCGTCACAAAAAAGGCGCCATTTGGAGGATTTGAATAATTCCATAATTATATTTTCCGTTTATTTTCAGACTGATATTAAGAATAAAATTAGAAAATTTGGTAATCAGTAGTTATTTAATACACCAAAGAAACAACTAATAATAATCATATTGCTCATTTCAACTGCGGTGTAATACCCCATTGGATTCATAGCCATCGGTACTGAACTTCATTTAAAAGTAGCCCGATGAAATTTAAGATCCTCTTTTAAGTTCGACCCAGTATGGAGTTTGAGCTATGATCAATTATTGTTCATAACTCTGTTGTTTTAGTAACCGACAAACGGTCTAAAAATGATAAAAACAATTCATTGCAGCCTGCATGCAGAAACTTAAAAAGTAACAGCAGTTGTAATTACTATTCTTCGCAGGCCAATCCGAGAGTAGTAAATGCCTTTCAGCTTTACTTATATGGTTCAGTATTTTGTAAGACTAGAGGTATATAACTCTTCCAAGTAGTTAAATACAGCAGCCACGGAATTATCTAACAATTCGCGCAGACATCCGCCACGAAACCGAGAGTGCCTCGGCGTCGTATCCTTCAAGATTCCCCTCTTGTAGTCCCCAAAGAGGACATCCTTTCACTAGTCCATCTTCAAGATGCATCTCCCGAGTTCTTCAGTCAGTCAGTGACTTACCGCTACGATGGGTGTTAGTGCTTTGTTTCTCATAGGTGAGTGAACCAGTGAGGAAGGGGGGAAGCTGGAGATTGGACCTTTTGTATGGGGTCTGGAGTGCGAAAATTTTTTTTAAACCTGAATATTTAAACTGGATCAATACGAGATTTTTATTTTTTTCTGGTTATTTTTTTAAATATTTTTGTTACAGTCAAATTTAATGAAAAGATGAATACCCTAATTCGATCTTTTCTTATTAATTTTTTGCAACTCATAATATCTAATGCATGCAATAAGTTGCATTCTATTCATTAGCTTCTATTTCAATTTCAAATAACTGGAAACTGAAATTCTAGAACATGGAAAAAATATATACAAATTGCTAAAAGTAGACACTCCTAGTATTTATTGGTAGTAGAAGCATAAACTGACACATTGCCTCCTGAAAACGTTTTTCAAATCAGTAATTACAGTTTTAGGTATTATTTTTCAAGAATATAGCGGATTTTAAGAAATATAACACTATTATTATTCAAGCAACAATTTGGCAAACATTACCAAATCTATTTCAAATATTTAATTCCCTATTTTAACACCTTTGATCCGCTGCAAATATTTCACCTAGTAATCATTCAAGTATGATACCGTGAAGAGGTGTAAAGCTTCATGGAGTATTTCGTTAAACACAAATAAAGTAGGCAATTAAAAAAATTGTAGACATCATGACCGATGAATTGTTTCATTACACCTGTTCTAGTTGCATCACAAGTTGAGATTTCACAAGTTACACCTTGTTTTTTTTAAGTGGATGCAAGCACAAGAATTTTATACACGTACCCAATTGATTATAAAAACTGTGTAGTGAAAGTGATCGGAATGGTATGGCATATTTTAATTTCAAAATAAAGGAGACGCCAATAAAAAAGAAAATAGTATTTTAATTAGGATGAGGTTTTCCACGTAAGCCAACTGGCTCAAAAGGAATGTGGCCATATTTCACATGCTTAATAATATTAAATCGTTTACGTAACACCGTCCAGCGTTTTCTTTTTGATAAATACAAGTTTTTTTATATTGTTTAATCTTTGATGAACGTAAACTGCCATGAGGGATGCATTTCGAAAAAAAAAGTAAATGCGTACCAAGTTGCAATATTCTGATTTAAAAGTTTTAACCATTTCTCATTTCACTATAAACAGCACAAAACGCAAAACTGTTTACCTACACATTGGTCCGACAAACTATTAAAACCGACTGAGAAATACCTAAATCAACTGTGTACTGTTAATTAAAAAAAAAACATACTAAAAAGTGCCCGTTCCAAACCTCAGTAAAGCTGTGTTTCAAGGAATTGTAATTATTAATAATGGAATGAATAGTATCGATAAATTAAAAAAAATATGTACGCATAAGTAATTTGCTAAAAATTCAATAAAAAACGCAAAAGTTTTTAATCAACCCTGAAAATTATTGCCTAAGCTTCATTTTGTAACGGTTCCAAATTAATTGTCCGAGTATGGTAGCTGCATATTCCTATGCGAAATACGAAATATATGTCACTATTAATTAAAATTATTAGTGACATTGTTGTTGCACACATAACAAACTTACTTCATAGTAAAATTACTTTATTGTGAAGAGATGTTATCAGTTAATAAAGAGGTACACTCGACGTGTGAATGTATTATTATATAAACGTTGTTTCCATTTTGCATACAATATAACTTCTCTTTCACAATCTCCACTTCAGACTCCAGCACAGGACGTGGCTTGTAATGTATGAAGTACGTATAGGTATTGCAGAAAGTAGGTATATATGATTATAAGATAAATTACGAAGGCTAGAGGTTGCGTGATACTTTCCTAAATTTTTTACACAAAATAATAGCCAGAACCAGAAACCTGAAAACTGCTATAATAATGATAATTTTGATTCTGTTAATTATACTCAAATATTCTGTTGTATTTCAGGTATTTGTATAGGATGGGCCAATACCCAATTCCTAAACAACAGGCCATTTCCTACCTACAGCCTGGAAAACATGCCAGACACTGAATTTTCATGTAGGGATAAAATCCTAGGCGGGTATTACGCCGATGCCGATACGCAATGCCAAATGTTCCATATTTGCGTTAAAGTCGCTGGAGTAGGGGTAAGCCTCCATTTTTTTTTGTTACACAATAAGGTATACCTAGTTTTCCCCGTCCGTACTATATAAATTTGAAAATACGAACTCTTTTTTTAAGTAACTGTCGGAGATTGAAATTGATTCATTTGGTCATGATTAGGTTCCTTGGTTATGAATATTATAACAGAGGTGAAGTTCATTGTCATTTTTTTAGAGGAATTCACTTTCGCTTCATTGCCCACAGTGGCAATTTAGTCCGGCGATTTTATCCTGTTTCAGTTCAAGTTCCTCGAATGGAATTTCGCGATATTTTAACGTGGGAGGACCACACCATAAAAACATCCTTACAGAGAAAGCGCTGTTTACTTAAATAAATCTT